TATGTTTATACCCCTCCATCAATACAAAGTGAGGCAGCACCAACACTGAATATAGATGGGTGGTCACCTCTTTTGACTGGCTGGATAGTCTGTGTTTGATGCTGCCCAGAATGTTGTTTGCCCTCTTGGCTGTCAGGGCACACTGCTGACTCACACTGAACTGCTATCAACCAGCACTCCCAAATCACTTTCTGCCTGATGCTTCTCCAGCCACTTCTCTCCCAGTTTATACTTACATCTGGCATTCCTCTGCCCCAGGTGCAGAAACCAGCATTTGAACTTGCTAAATTTTATCACACTAATCATTGTCCAATGCTCCAATCTATTAGATCTCCCTGCAAGGCCTCTTAGCCCTCAAGAAAGTCTTCAGCAACTCTCAGTTTTGTATTATCAGCAAAACTCATGGTGTGTTTAATTCCTGCATGATCATCATGGCCAGGACAGCCACCTACCATCACCTCCCCCATGAGTCCTTCTCTGTTCAGAAATAGCAAGTCTAGAAGGGTAATTTTTTTCTTTTTGGCTCACTGAGCACTTGTGACAAGAAGTTATCTCCCACAAACTTCAAGAATTTTCAAGGGCAAGCAGCATGATAATCCCAGTTAATGTCTAGGAAGTTGTTATCTCCCATTAGGACAAGGGCTACAGACCAGGAAATTTGTCCTAATTACCTATAGAATAACTTAACAGTGTTTACATCCTGTTTGAGCAGTGAGTAGTAGACTCCCACCAGAACAATTGCTTTTTTTCCCCATCCCCCTAATCCTCACTCGGGGTCCTCCACTGCATCATTGAACAGTCCAACCTCTGCCTTACACACAGTGTGACACCTCCACCTCGCCTACCCTGTCTATCCCTCCTCAACAGCCTGTAGCCTCCACCCCAGCCCTCCAACCATGGGACTCATCCCGTGAAGTCTCACTAATACCAATGACATTGTGGCTCTGTGAACTGGCCAATGCTTCCAGTTCACTCATTTTTTTACTCATGCCGCGTACGTACTAGAAAACACACATTGTGGAAAGTCGGTTCTCTGCTTCTTCATGATTAAAAATATCCAGGATTATCAAAAGAGAACTGCTGTTGGTACTAATACAGTTATCACAGATTTGTTAAAGCTGACACTAATCTCGAGCTTCTCACAACACAGTTTTATTCTAGGAAGCTCTTGAAAATATGCATGCTGATCTTATGTCTTTTTGGCACAAGTGTTGCTTTTCCTGTGACTGTACATCTGTATTTCACAGTATAAGTTGTTTGCATATTTAAGGTTTGTGACCCAGCTGCTTGGGTTTTGTGTACGTTTCCACAGCCTGTCAGTATAATCTTTGCTAATATACCCTTTTTCCCTTCCCATGATACTAACGCTGAAGAATAGATCTTTGTATCTGCCACGTTAGCCATTCTGAGTTCCTTTAATGGTCTGAGGAAAAAAAAAATTCCAAATTTCAGGATTATTTCCACTGAAAAGTACTCACTCTTCATATATTAAAATAAAAAAGACAGCTGAAGAGTGCAGGTGCAAAAATAAACAAAAATCTTCAGGACAGCCAGAAGTATCCTAGAATGTAAACAAACAAACTGCTGTCTTGAGTAAGAGTGTTAGTTGTGTCTATCAACAGATACTGACTTTTCATCATAGTAGTGAGAACAGAATGTGTAACTGCAATGGTAGGTATCAAAGTCCTGGTCTGCAAGGTAAGACTAGTTAGTTACATATCAGTTTCTATGGGGAAACAGGTTTTACCTACCACTGAAAAGCATGGCTTTGTACTTCAGCCAAGCTCACCTAATTATGAGCTACCGCTGAAAGAGGTGCTACTCATCACTGCACCTCAGCTCCTTGATCTGCTCTCCTCTGTCAACCAAGTGATGATGTGCCTGCAGAGCTAGTGAATGAAGCAGAAATCTTAATTTCTTTCAAAACACAGACTTGATTTCCCACAGGTTGGATTGCTGCTGGAACTGACTCTCCTACAGTTGTACAGGCCTGACTGTGGTGTCCATTCAAAGCTGATGTTACCAACAGAGATTGACAAACTCTATGACATCTTTACACCGGGGGTAGCTTGTGCCATGACAGCAGCAGGATTCCTTTCACAACCTCAAGGTCTTATCAGGGAAAGGTAAAGCACAGGAGAATAAATCACTGTTCTTGCTATTATATTGAAGTTGGAAGTATATCAGTACATATGGTAACCCTTGGCACACACATTGTGTTTCCCCCAGCTTGTTTCATCTCTGTGTCCATAGGTATTATTCCCTGCTCAGAGGGGCTCTTGTATCTGTTCTGTCAGCTTCCACTCTCAGTGTGCTAGGCCACAGGGAATGGCAGCTGTAAGTTTTGAGGTCTGTATCCTCCCCTTCCAGCTATGCATGATCACCTTGTGAATAACAAGGTGGCAGCTGCAAATGAAAACGTGGTAAGTATTGTAGGAGATAATATCTTCCCTACAGTGACTTGCCATCCTGGGTCAATATGGTGTAGTCCTTAAAATGCAGATCAAAACCTCAGAAGTGGGCTGGAAGAATCTTGACAACTATTCAAACAATTCACAACCTCTTTGACTGTCAGAAAAGTGGGTGCAGAATAGCAGGACAACACTTTCCTCTCAACAGACTATGTAGTTATCTGAAATGCAATTAATTTGGGAGAAAAGAATTTGTGCATTAAATTATAACTTTGAGGTTTGAAGGTCAAATTTGCATTTCCTCTGTTGGAAGTTTTGTTTCTGTCTTTTGCCGTTTTTTGCATTGCATCTACTCACATTAGCCCCTCATGCCAGAAAAACTCACCTGCCTCTGGCTGAATTACCTGACAATGCCTGTGGGTCAGGAGAATAGAATTGTTCCTTGCCTGCCAAGCCTTGCTGTGGTCTGTATATTTCAACAAGGTAATATTAACAACACGACACAGGGACATAAACGTTCATCCAATTCATTAAGCTAAACTATGACATACAAGAGTACAAGGAGGAAAAAAAAGGTCAAAAGAATCAAACTTGATATTTAAACTTTTTAATAAGGCAAACCAGAATGAAATTGTTCTTGAGAACTAGCTCAGTCTTGCCACCCTAATGTCCCCACTTGCTCAGTTAAATTGCAAGTAGCTAATGATAGCCACAGTGATACGCAGAGAGGTTGCCAATAATACTGTTTTGAAGGTGTCCCAGTCTTAACAGATGGTACTTGTGTGAAGTGGGGTGCTAGATTTACCCTTAATTTCCTTGCAACACCTCCTTTGGCTGCAGTTTTTGTATTAGTATCAGTTCCAGCTTCCATTAGTGGAAGCATATGTTCTGTAGAGCTGTCATGGTGTGTTCCTCAGCGAAAGCAAGTTTCTTGTAGCATCCCCACTCACTTCAGCAGGAGCTCAGCAGGGTCGGCTGGGCAGCTAAAAATAGCAGACATGCAAGAAGGGAATTCCTGATTGCCACAAAAAGCAAAATAAACGAAAAATACACACTCTGGCTGACTCTAACATCACATACTTAAGAGAACAGATCCTGCTGTTGAAAAAGTCCCAGGATGTTTTAAGCTGATTTATTCAGAAGGCAAATGCAACGAATAACAGACAAGGATATTTGTTTAGGCCACGGTCCCCGAATTGCCCAAATGAAAGCGGTGATAATATTGATAAAGGATGGTGCAAAGAGAAGGACATGGCAAGGTGTTTTTCTTTATTTTTGTCCTGAACAATATTATGCGCATATAAATCTCTAGATTCATTAAGAATCTTACAGACAAAACTTTTCTTTAACAAACCCTCCATTCATCTACCTCCATCAAGAGAAATATTTTCTCCTTGTTTTTAAAGCAAACTTTCCCTCTCACTCAGACTCTTGCAGTGTGACAAGGTTGCATAATCCACTGCATGAGAAGATATCCAATACTGTTTTTAAGATGGTGTGCAGCATAAAATGACATTTCAGGCAGAGGTATTTGAAAAATTCTGGAGAGTAGACTTTGTTTTTCAAGCAAAGGAGGCACTTGCAGATAGCCAAAACCAACGAAAGCATTAACATTTAGATGAATAGTGACAGTGTTATAGTAATGATATGAAAGGAATGAACAATTTTTGATAATTTTTGTTTGTTTCTCAGAAGTTGAGGTAATAGGGATGGCAGAACAGAAACATGCTTCTTCAGGTAGCTACTCCTCTATTTTCAAATAACACACTATTTGTCGTATGTGCATATTTGTAAAACAGTCTAAAGATTCAAAGTACTATTTTGAATTCTATTTTCTTTTGTGTTTGCAATAACACATAAATTAAAATAGGGTATAGATTAAAAAAATAAAATTTTACTCTGTGGATGTGCTAGCTTTTCATTCTAATAATGCTTAGCAGAATAGGTAGCAACACTTAGTTGCTGCTCTAGCTGCTGGTAGAAGCTACTGAAAACAGACCACCATGCAAAATAACATCTTATGTCTTGATAGAGTCATATAGGTAATGTCTCTAGGTGTTCAGGAAAACAACCAAAACAAAACCCCAAACAGTTCAGTGTTTTACACAGCAGACCTTAAGAAGGCAAACACTTTAATAAAAATCTACCCATGTTTTGAAGGACCTGAACCATGATTTAGATGGTTGAAATTCCTACTTGACCTCAAGCTTCCTCTTCCAGCTTGACCAGGGTGTTTACTGTCACTTCAATTTCCTTTGAAAAAGCAGATCATCTGTCTTCATATTTTCATATTACTGGTTGGGGGATGAACAGATCAAGAGCAGCCCTGCTGAGAAGGACTTGGGGGTGCTGGTGGGTGAGAGGCTGGACATGACCCAGCAATGTGCACTCACAGTCCAGAAAGCCAGTTGTGTTCTAGGCTGCATCCAAAGCAGCGTGGCCAGCAGGGTGAGGGAGGGGATTCTGTCCTTCTACTCCACTCTGGTGAGACTCCACCTGGAGTTCTGCATCCAGCTTGGGGTTCTCAGCACAGGAAGGATACTGATCCGTTGGAGCAAGCCCAGAGGAGGCCACGAAGGTTCCACAGAGGGAGTACCTCTCCTGTGAAGATTGGCTGAGAGAGTTGGGGCTGTTCAGCCTGGTGAACAGAAGGCTCCAGGGGCATCTTAGAGCAGCCTTCCGGTACCTGAAGGAGGCCTACAGCAAAAATGGAGAAGGGCGTGGGATGATAGTACAAGGTGGAATGGTTTTAAAATGAAAGAGTGTAGGTTTTGATTAGATGTTAGGAAAAAGTTCTTTACTTTGGGAAGGTGTGGCAGGAACAGGTTGCACAGAGAAGCTGTGGATACCACATCCCTGGCAGTGTTCAAGGCTGGGGGCTTTGAGCAACCTGTTTTAGTGGAATATGTCCTTGCCCATGGCAGGGGAGTTAAAACTAGATGATGTTTAAGGTCCCTTCCAACACAAACCATTTTATGGTTCTGTGGTTCTGGGATATTTGGGAGGCAGGGTTGCTGACACAAGAAGCAATGCCCCCCATGCTCTCATATGAAAAGTCCCATATGAATAGGGCTTCTAAGGAGTGCCACCAGGTCATATAACATCCTATCCCCAGTGATAGGATGAATAATGAATGTTTCCAATAAAAGTCTAATGGAGTTTGTTGTCAAAACACACTGTGGGAGCAATCTTCTTTGAGCATTGTTAAAAACTGACATTGGGAGGGTGGGTAGCCCAGGCAAGGAGACCTGATATTGAGGAAAGATCTGCGGTCTGTTCTGTCACAGGGATCTAGTATTGTCTTTGCAAATCATTTAGCCATCCTAAAATGAACTGACACCACTGGTAAGTAATTTCCAGGTATGAAGCTCAAGCTCTCTCCATAGAAGAGTGGCCATCAGAGCATCTAAGCTTGTCGTTTGCCCATCATCACACTGGAGGCATGTCTCTTTCACACAGGCAGTGTTGAGGCAGCGATCACCCTGCATTGCTTGTTCAATAGTTTTCCAGGTACTCTGAAAAGCACTCTGCAGCACTAGGTTTGATTGTAAAGATTATGGAAGGAACAGACAAACAACACTTGGTGATACCTGGGCACTTTGAGAAGTGGGAGTCGTAGTATTATCATCTCAGGCAGTACTGGCCAGACTACTTTCCTTATCTATAATTTTTCATGTGGGGACAATATTGCTATCATGGCAGCAGCAGAAAGATAATATTTTTTTTCACACATTTTAGTAACAGTATTGTATCTTTTCCTTGCAGTATGAATACACAACGCTTGTCCATCCTGTGCTGTTGTCATTTCAGCAGACACCACTTTGATCTCACAACCTGGCTTGCAAGCACAAAACCCATTGCTGCAGCCCAAGAAAACTCCAACCCAGTGCAATGAGGACAGGTGTTAGACCTACCAGGGACAGCAGCAGTTTCACCAAGACCTTTCACAGGTCCAGCAACAGCTGCCAGCTGCCAGAAGTAAACAGCAGGAAATTTTCATGTATGTTGGCTCACTGAAACCAGTCTATTCTTTTGGCTTCAAAAGTGTCTGGACAGGTTCTGCACTATGGATTTTTTTTGCCAGACCATTCCTGCACTTTGACTCACCGAAATAAGAGAGTGTTTATTTCTATTAGGAATGATGGTGGTCAGATTCTTCAGCTGGAAATGGTAGTAGGGTGGTGTCATTGTTTATCCCTGCATTTCGACCCTTTGTGGTGCCAGTTCAGTCTGGAGAAAGTGTAATGAGCATCAGTGGAAATAATGGAATATTTTTGCTGGAGGTGATCATCATGTGAGTCAGGACAGAATATATCCTCTGAGATTTTCAACTGGAGTAGCTTGTGCTCATTTGACTTATAAATGTGGTTTTGCAAGAGGAACATAGATAGATCTTCAGGCTGCCTTATTTAGCAGAAACCCACTGTTGACTTTGAGGGTTGTGCAGGTTTGGTTCTTTTCCAGTGCAAGGCCAGACCTATATCCTACAGATAAAGGTTGACCTGCAAAACTCGTTTCCCTCTGAAGTCAGAGATTTTTGTCTACAGAGGGTGGTACTTCAGACAAAATGCCATAGCCTAATTTTATCTATCTTTGAGCTATCAGCCTTGAAATAAACTCTGTTACCACATGGGCTTATTTCAGGGAATAAATAATGTAAATGTTAAAAAAGACCTAGTGTGCTTGAAAGCATATGTATTTTTCCAACTTTATCAGTTGCTCTAGAAACAGATATTAACTTTCTTTTTTCCCCACAAACCATGTCTTACTTTCTTCCTTACTTTCATTACTATTGAAAATGTCCAAAGAGTAGGAGATAGTTTGAAGGAAGATTAGGTGGGTAAAATGCTCTCTTCATATAGAAACATTTTTTTAGCTAGGCCAAATCCATTCCACTGATCCAGTATGTCATTTAACATTTCTTCCCTTTTGCCGTCTCTTAGCTGATTTGCACTGCTCAGCAAGTCTTACTCTTGTTCAAGTATGTACTCTGGCTACTATTTTTCTAAACTACTGTAGCTATCATCACCAAAATACGCAGGGCACTAAGGTGCCAAGGTGAGTATGGGTTTATTGTATAGCTTTGGTATGTACTGTAACACAATTACGTTTATACCAAAGTTTTGTGGCTACTCCCGGTTGGAACTAAATTGTCGTATTCTCCGTCAGAACTAAGAATCACCTGAGGAGACTATTTGTTGCAGAAACAGTCAGGAAAACATCCATCTTTTAAAAAAAAATCTCTTTGTAAAAGCAAGCCATAAATTCTTTTCAGGGGCCTCAATGCTGTTTTCAGCGGCACCCACGCAGACAGTGTAGGCAGACACATCTTTGCTATGTCTGCCCCTGCTGATGGCAAGACACAAACCAATTCTTTTCCAGGAATTGACGAGTCTCATTCAGCATACGTGCAGCTCTGAGCTAATGCATTTAAGTGGCTCTGGCCTGTAGCCAGCAATAGGCACAGAAGTGAAGCAAACGTGACCGTCTGTACTTGTCTCTGCCTCCAAAAGTTGAGCCCTGGCCATTGTTTCCAGCATTCATGGGATTGATCACTTGCTAAAACCAACAAATTGTTCTTTTCTTTTTGCCCTTGATGTAGCCGGATGTGTATCAATTAGTCGAGAATGGGAAAGCACAATAGCCCCTGCAGCAACCAGTTATGTATTTCCCATGTCTTACTCTCCAATTCTTTCTACTTTTCCTCAGCTGTATCAGCTTAATTCACTGATTATTCTTTTTTGTTTCATCTAACTTTACCCTCAGTTCTTTCTTCTGTCCTATGCAGCATGCCAAAGGATAAGTTTATTTCAATTTTGCTCACCCTCAGACAACTATCCTTTTGAATGGATACTGCTGCAGGTAAAACTGAGCCTGAATTGAATGCCTGATGTATTCAAAGCCATGGCACAGAACTTTATGTTGCCCCCTTGTTCAAAAGTGGCCACTGGGCTTCTCTGTCTAGCAAAATTTGTTTTAAAATTTGCTTAGAAATTCCTTCCAGAATGCATTTTTTGATCATTTTTTCTCTAAACCCCTAACTTTATTCATTTGTGTGACACTTGCTGTGCCTGGCTCCTGCTCTACTGTCTTTTTTGTCAGGATGTCTCTGCGACACTTGACGTAGGGAGCTCTGAAGGAATGCAGGTGAGTCACAATAGAAAGGACATCTCATTCTAAGAAATTGTAAGACAGGACTGTCTGGACTTTTTGAATGTAAATTTCAGTGAAACTGCTCTGGGTATTCACGCTCTTCTTTCATTCACAACCGAGGGCTTCAAGATCTTTGCAGCACACTATTTGCACAGAGGTTACTGTAAGATCAATGTACATTATGTTAGACTACAAATGTTGTTCTCACTTCAAGACTTCCCTACACTGTGTAAACAGGAAACAAGTGAATAAGAATTGACGTCTTGCAGTCTGGTCATGGAAAAGGAGGTGTGATAACTGAAAAACTCCATCTCTCTCCAAGTGGATACTTACTGTCTTGGAAAAGGACTGGAAGGAATTCATAATCATTAACTTTAAAAACCACATTCAGATGGTAATTTTCTCCCTCATGCCTAACATCTGTAGTTGAGGGACATTTCCCATTTCAAGAACCAGAGTGTTCACCGGCCACAGGAAGCGACAGGCACTGGTGGTACCTCTGACATGGCCACAGGAAAAAGTCTCTCTGTCTGGTCTGTGTCTGAAGGGTTGTCATTCCAGTACCAGCTTCCATATCACAAACTGCTGTGGAGGAGAGCTAGCCTTCTGCCTAGGCTTGCCAACAGCAGCCAACTGCACACATTGAGGAGAAGATGAGGAAATAACATAATCCTTCCTACTTGCCTTTTCTGTGGGCAGGCAGAGTGGGTGCACCAGACTCCGGTGCTATGCTTCCCACTTTTATTGGCATATACAGTGGATGAGGAAGGGGTCCCCAAAATCCAACCCTCCAGGGGTATGTCAAAACTGAAAATCACTCACCAGCCTCAGGACAAAAGCTGCTGTTGCATGGGGATATTGATCAGAGGCAGCGAGGTCCTTCAGCCCCCGGGGATTTCCTGTCAGACTGAGGGGAGTGTTACCCACCTTCCAGATGGGATGATGGTGGTTTACAGTGCTGGGCACTGTGGCACATGTTGGAAACAAATTTCCAAGCGACAATTTTCCTGTGCATTCAGCAGGTTGAAGGAGAGAAATTCTTGAAGAAACATGCACCCCTGTCAGGGCAAAAGGAAATCTGTTTCCTCCTAGCAGCCTTGTTCCTTTCATTTTATAGACCAGTTCCTCTGGAGGTCCAAAAATAAGTGGCTGTGTATCCTACCTTGCACTCTGATACCATGCAGGAAATGTAGCCTAGGAGTTCTATCATATGGTGTCTAAAGCTCTTCTAAGGACCATGAAATGCCCTGTTTCTATAATGCACATGTGTTTCCTCTGATTGGCTTAGGAAAACTAGTAGTCTGTTTTCTGGGGCTTGTAGTAAAGTATTAGTGGTACTATCCAATGTATACAGCTATGGAAACTTTAGTATGAAGTTCTTTCTTTCTGTATTATTTGGGAGAAGGGAAAAAAGTTTAACAGCAATTTTTGTTAATACAGCGAATTACTGTGAATTTCTTCTTCATGCTGCTTCATGCTGCTGTATGTTCATGTGTAGGCTGGCATGTATTCCACTTTTTCTGTTAAATA